TCTACAAATATGAAAAGTTGAAGGAGTTTCGCTCGTCCTCCAGGGAATAGTGCTACAAGCATGGGCGAAACTCTTTGCACTAACATATCGCAGGAAAAGTTCGTTATATTTTTAAAGGATTTATTAACTAGGTATCTTTGGCCATAATTGGATAATTTAAGCATAAGACACACGTACAAAAATTACGCTTTTATAATGCTGATCATACTTAAAATTCAGCCACAAAACCAGAAACATAATTCCTTCTTTCAAAAAAACTTGAGTCTTCATACACATGTGTACAATGTTCTTTTAAAATTTCACTTTCCAATTTCTTATAATTTTGTTCATTTTCAGCATTTCTATTATACGATAGAAATATAAATTATGCGAAAGAAACACACTAGATTAGCGTGTCCACCCTCCACTGACTCTGCCAATTTTACTACTCCCTGTTCTTTTAGTTGTCTCCGACTGTTCCTGCCCACTCCTGGCACAGCTTTCTCTTGCGAAAGACACGCTTTGAACCGCTGCTATTCGCATGGACGTGATTCTTTACGGTGGCAAAGTAGTCCACAGCATTCCCTGAATGCTTCCGGAGTTCACTGAAACGAACCGAAACATCAGTTCTCGTCTCGAAACTACAGGAAGACATCTATAGCTCTTACATTATAATAGTAAAATTCGTAGTTCGCTTCCTTTTGCTTCTGTCAAGTCATAATCACGAAATTATATTTCGGGAAGAGCTTTATCTCCCTAGCTGTGTGATAGTGTCAATGTGTGTGATTTAGCTGCTGAATTCGAAATTAGAGAGTCCCTCGGTGGCTCGTTGATTGGCGTGCTTTCCACGGCTCAACCCCGGATTGAACTCCCGGACGGGGCAAAAATTATTTGTGCGCTTTTCTTGCAAAGTCCCAGTATCTGTTGCTGTGTGACGAGCAGAAAGCTCACTTCTCAGGTTTTGAAGTCCAGAAATAAGGCGTAGGGATGTCCACGTGCGAACCACACGTACCCCTTAACCCATGGCTGCAAGGCCGAGATGCTGCTGGTAGGCCTTAGCTCATACGGAGCTGTTGTGCCAAAATACACATATACATACATTCGTAATTAGAGAAAATCATTCCTGTTCTGACTTTCTCCATCCTTGAATAGATTTCTATGATATTCAAAATTCTCATATTAAACGTCAGAATGTATTGTGGCATTTCGATAATTCGTATTTTAAAATATGTTATACTTGGATCACATTACTGTGTAAGAAAATAGTTACCTTAAATTTTGTGATAACCCAGACTGAACGTATTTACAAAGTTTGAGGGACCGGCAGGGGTGGCTAAGGACATTATCTGATGTCACTGCAGTGCCTCTAATCTAGGCCTAGGTTCCGATTGATCCTAGGTTCGAGTCCAGACGGTGGTCGGATTTTCGACACTACCTTTCCAGATAGATCGAATTCAGTCGCTGTCTGGAGGAAAATTCTAGCGGCCGGCTGCTCTTATCGGTAGTTTTCCGTGATTTCTCCGATTAACACTGGGCGAATGCTGAAGCAGTACTCTAACAAACGGGCCACGGACCGCGCGTGTTCATTCTCCTTCCTCTTCTATGTCCTAATCTCACCCCTTACACACATACACTGACACGCACTTCGCTACCACATACCGGGAGACCGGTCGGGAGCTTAGAGATTGTCCCGACTAGGGCGGTGCCCCGATGGGCGATACCTGGTTGGGGAAATCCCGCTTGCCGATGGTAGGTCGGTACCAGATCCCGCCATACAGCGGGAGGTCACCGCCATTCCCCGAGCACTTCACCTACTAACGGGACTAATGACCATAGCAGTTGATGCGTCCAGCATCACCAATCAATCATCAACGTTCGAGGGGCGACGCGGCGTGTGTTGTGTGTGTTGCGTAGCGAGATATGGCAGGCGCAGCAGCAGCGTGACGCGCAGTTGTGGTTTCCAGAAGAAAGCTAATTAGAGAAAGGAGTGTTGACGAGTATGAATGTGGAAATGTTTATTTTAAAAAAGTGCGCCTGTTCCGCGTGAGGTTTTAGTCTTATACTAGCATAAGAATACGGCGTTGTTCGAGTATTTATTAGGCCTAATTATACAATAATCTATTTGACAGGGCAAAGGATGAATTGCATGCATGGTGTATCCCCACCCTTTCTTGTCCCAGCATAACCAGACAGCGGCTGAATTAGTCAACCTTTTAGGCATCGGCCCAATTAAGTTAGCCTTCTGTACGTGTATGTAGAAGGTTGTGTGATTTTCTTGCGGTTACCAAGTTCACATAATGCCGAATACTGGAAGATAAATTATTATTTCTTAACTGGATATGAAGATATGAAGGACTTGGACAATTTCAAGCACCCACCAATTATTATTTTATCGATTTTGGAAGAGTGTGTGGTAATGTTACTGCCTCCAGTTCTTTACAACTATCAGTAAGACATATGAAAGCAAGATAAGTCACACTTCATCAAAATAAATGTATTAACATTTACGATTGGGCGGGAGGTTTTCTGAAAGCTGAAGCAGCTTATCTTTTACTGCTCCCGCCTTTTATTGCATGATCATAATGGAGAATGTCGTTTGTATTTAAGGGGTACATAACGGGATGCGATGCGATGTACTAATCATATCTAGTTTTTGCTTATGAATTATGGTTCATTATTAGCTTGCGTAAACGTGAAAATGTTAATCTATCGAATAGGAAAATTAATGTTGATTGACCAAGTAATTTTTACTGGAAATGTCTCCATAATTGTGAAATTCGGAATATGGACCTTGATGTTAAAAACAATTAATAGAATGAAAAATTTGGCTAGTCACATTTAATATGAAGCCACTCCCTTTTGAGAGAGCAATACTCTAAGCTGCCTTATATCTTAGGGTTTACGGGCACCGAGGGCGATTTCTATTTTAGAAAACATAGCAGGGAAATAGAATGGATGTAAGAACAACACTTTTTTATTTTCTACCGAATAGAGTTTTAATTTGAATCAAAAATGTTAATATACAGTGGTTTTTTGTTATAATATTTTTTTGTAACATTCTATTTGGCAAATAATTAATTAACATTTTTGATAATAATAAACCATTGTCATAGAGAACAAGTTGGCTACGAATGCGATTAACAGGTGTGGATGTGTATGCCGGAAACAACAAAAATGTGTATGAAAATGCTAAAAAACTAGAAAATTGTACTCTTAAATGCAAATATAAAAAACGGAAGGTGCATATTTTATTATCATCAGTAAACCAACGTTTTACGTGTTAAATAAACAATGCATTTATTACTATCAACAATTATTATGGTAATATTTCTAAAATTTCCAGAGAAATTATTTTTTCTTGGAATTTGCAAATTGTTCTTATCCATAGAAAATGTCTTACTTCTCAGGGGATAGTGCTTAAAAGCTGGAATTTCTTTTACTGTGTAATAGTATGCGATTTTCTTTGCGAAAGTGCATTTTTTAATTATAGTTCTCAAACCTGGAGTTCCTTCTTGGAACTCCAGGTTTATTAATTTTTATCTGCTACGCTTTACGTTAATAATTCTGGTAAACTGTTGAAAGTGGTTTTCAATGAATTCAATTTTACTGAAGTTGTCAGCTCAAGATTATGTTGATCGATGTTGATTATTACCTCAGAAGTAATGAGTGTGGTAGAATGTTGGAGCTCGCTTTGGATCTTTCTTCATATTCTTTCTGAATTAGTTTAGATCCAGTAAAGGATCTTTCTTCATATTCTTTCTGAATTAGTCTAGATCCAGTAAAGGAAGTGACATTCTAAAGCATGTTAACATGCAATCAAGTAAAGTCTAGTATTAAATCGTGTTTCCACTTATATGCTCGTAGTTAAGACAAACCTTAAATGATGGAGAACTACTGTCTTCATTTTACTTATTAATACTCGTCGAATATTTGAATAAAGCTCTGAATAAATCAAATTATTCACTTTAGGGTGCTGTAAAAGTATAACTTTGGCTGCACGATACATATCGTCAGTGCACGAGAAAAGGGACACTAAGAATAGTTGAGTAGAGAGAGGTCATTTACATAGCATTTCAGCCCGTGTATAGCATTAACAACACTATTATTCAAGCATACTTACGATTATAAACACGATATGTTTCCTGTTAAAACACATTTTATTTAGAAATATTTTGAAAAAAAAAAGAACTTTCTTTTACTCGCGATTTGATGTGAACGAGGATGTTATCTTATCACTTATGTTAGGAAATAAGGTGGATTTGAGCTATATTCCTTTGTGAGCACGAATTTATATTCCTTAGAAGCAATTTAGTTAGCAGGCTATTATAATGAGCTGGCAAACGCTTTGTTTCTGACATTACGTAGTCCTTAATCTCTGATCATTTTCTAAATAATTAATTCAGGTGCAACTTTAACTGCTCTGGTTTTTAATGTCCTACCTTCTCTTGGTCCATCTGATTCAATTATCTACAAAAATCTCTCACACAAATCATCCGGCATTTCTTTATTGCATTTTGACTGCGTGCTCAATTACAGGTGTTATCTCACGTGAACATTTCAAGGACATTGCTTCACACTGTACGATGTTAATAATGTTTCTGTTTACGGTTTTCTTGCATGTTACATTTTTTTAACAGCCACCGAAGAGCTTGGGGCGTCCATGTTGTGGGCCCTCCTACTTCCTGGCGCCTCCGCAGCAGCCGCCCGGCGCCGCAGCGGGCTGTTTGGCGAGCCTCTCCCGCGAGTCGGAGGGGGGCACGCTGCCCGCGCCGGCGGGGGGCTGGGCAGCCGCCCGGTCGGCGGGGACTTCCGGCGCGGGTCTCTTGTTCGCGTCGACGGCGGGCGCTGAGATGGCGTGGGCGACAGCGGCGGCGGCAGCCCCGGCGGGAGTCGATCCGCCGGCGTCGGTCTTCGTCTGAGACTTCTGTTTCGTCACGTCTCTCGCCTTCTGCGCTGCGGGGTCTGGCGTTGCGGACACATCCACGGCCGCCGCTGTCGTGATGTCGTCGGAGAGGGTGACGACGTTGTCCGTCGAACTCTTCCTCATTTTGAAGATGGTTCGTGAAGCTACCTGCACGTGAGTTGTATTAAGTTAGCACGACGTGCCTTGATGGTTTCACGCCGAAGTAGTTGGAATATTACTTATTTGCAACGCAGCAGCGGCTGTGGGACCGGTTGGACGGGTCTGTCGTGGATGTGTTATTGCTGTTTCCAAGTGACGCCAATAAATGAAGAATTAATCTTATTAGAAACGTTTACATAGCAACGTTAGTAGTCGGTTTTGGATTAAATTTTGATTTCTGGATTCGAGTAAATAGCGTTTAATAATACAGAATGGGTACATTTTCATTAAAACGTTTGGAATCGGAAAAATTGCGAAAGTTCGACTTGAGGATTTATAAAGGCGGCCGTGGAAAAGCTTGTGAAAATTCAAGAGATTCACGTCATTTGGTTGTTTCTTAATATGCATCATATCGTTTCACAACACACCGCAACACAACACCTAAAACTTCCCAATTTTGCCTTTAATAATACTAATAATAATAAGGATAATTTGATAAATATTTTAACATTATACAGTAAACTCTCATTACGAGTTCCAAGGAATGAAACGAATCGGCCTTGTGTTACAAAAGCTCGTGTAATCCACCTTAGTCGGTGCAAACAATTGGGAAAGTTACTCTGTCGAAGAAAGGCACTTTCTTTGTGAGAATTCGCATTTGAAGTGGAATATTTCACCGAAGAGAATGGATGAATGATGTGTGTGATTCAAACACGAAAACGGGGAATGTAAAAGCTAAATACATTTTTGCTCTCTTGATAAATTCATTGCCCATGAATTTTCTCCCCATTTCACTGCACTCATTTGAGCGTATCTCTTAACTTCTCGAATAATATATTATTTAATTGCTTCACTTAATATTTTTGTACTTGTACGTGGATGATTTTTAACTGCTTTATGAACACAGAACCTATCAGTTATTGAAAAAATTGAACTACCTGATAACATGTTCGTCTATTACATTCATATCTCAAATTTCACACGACCATTGTATATTATGGGGGTTAATTGTTATCTTATCCATCGCCTACAGGTGTCCCACAAGGTTCAAATCTTAAACCGTTATTATTTGCAATAGCTGAAAATAAATTTGATGACAACTTATGTTTTCTTTTAACGTATGCTAATGATATGAACTTGTGTCCTCCAATTCCTTCTGTTAATGATTACCAAATGTTCCATAGGTAGTTTTCAAGGATCTCTCTCGTAGCTCATTTGTCTCATCAACACCAGCCCAATGTCGAAGTAGTACCGTAACAAATGCCGAGAGGCAGAGTGGAGGCTTAGAGCTTGTCCCGGCTGGGGCGGTGCCTAGCTGGTGGGAGATATCTGGTTGGGGAAACCCCTGCTAGCTGCCGGTAGGTCGGTCTCAGATCTCTCTATCCAGAGGGTCAAGATTACCGACACCACTCGAGCAAAAATGCACTACACTCACGCGACTAATGTCCCGTCGCCGCCGGCAAGAATTCGACCTATGTAGCTAGCGTCGAAATTCCTGCCACCGCCGGAACTCGAACTCTAGGACCTCCTGGTCAGAGACATCAGTTGATGCCCTGAGCCACCTCTCCCAGTACTTAACGAATATTTTAACATAAATAATATTTAACATTGTTCTATTTTATTTATAAACTCATTCTTAATTAAAATCTTAATTCGTTCAATATTAAAATTACAATAGGTTATAATATTATTCTTACAATTTTGTTTTTCATTATTTATCTTTTCTAATTAACAGAAGACTACAAAAATGAAAACAAAAATTAATTTTAAGAAAATAAATAAATAACTATTAAATTACTGTTAATTTAAATTGAACTGTGCAATTTTAGGAAACTAGCGAATTTGCAGGGCTACAATTTATATTTGGCCCTTTTCATGATTTGAGTCAGAACATAAGATCTTCAAAAACGAAAGAAAAAAGTAATTTTTCCTCTATTTTACCCTTTTTTGATTGAAATGGTCAAAAATCGGATCTAAAAACCTGAAAATATTCTCGAAACACCTTTATCATCTACAGAAAATCGTAAGGATAGTTCAAGTCAATATTCGTCGGCGTAGTGGGGTTTAAAAAAATTAAAATCGTGTAAAAAGCTAAAAAATATTTTTATGTGTACGAAGTACTCCAGGTAAATTAATTTAAATCCGCCAAAAAACAATTTTTTTAAAAATTCAATTACGATTTTCAACAAAAACAATTATGGCCGCGGGGTGCGTTTTGCCTATCTTAATCAGCTATCCCCGCCTTGAAAAATCAAAAGCTTAAATGAAAATGGCATGTCACTCAGTGCATTAAGCATTAGCCGCACAAAACGTTTAAAGAAAATAATCGGAGCAAATTTTGAGAAAATGTTTTTACAAGTGTCCGCATTTCACTAAAACTTGCGCGAAAACGACTCGTTAAAAAAAAAGGTTAATATCATTAATTAAAGAAATAAATCTTTAACTTGCAACATAGTAGTTATAGAAAAACGCGGGAAAAAATGTTAAACTTTCGCAATTTTAGAAATTTTAGAAAACTCACAAAAAATTACGCGAAAAGTACTAAAATTTTCGAAAAATTGTATTACTATTTCAAAATCTATCTTGGAACAGATTTCATGAAGGGAAAAATATTTATCCTTAATGTTTTAATTGTAGGAAGACTCCGAAAAAATTTTGAAGTTTCTAATTTGCACGAAAATTATACCTGCATCATTCTGTTAAATGCTCTTATCTCTATCCAACAACAAAATTTAATCAAAAACGATGGAGAAGTTTTTTTTGAAAATTTGGAAAATGTCCCATGGGGTTCATGTAAAGTACTCCCCAAAATTGACCAACAAAAATCAAAATCAGTTCCAAATTCCAAGGGCTCGACAGCTATATGGATTAGGAAATATAAATTTTGCTGAAAATCTTGCCTTTGGGTTTGAAGCTGGTGTTGTTTGCTAGGCAGACGTTTGCCGTAAACCAATTTTTCTGAATCAATGTCACACAAAACGTACATTCGGACTACACAGTGTGAGAGAAAGTAGTAATTTACTAAATATTGCAACATGATTTATCCACTTTTCGACATCAGGGCGCCAATACGAGTTCTTTTTCCGTTGAAAAATTGTCGTTTTTGCTGTATGTTTTCTTGAGCCCTCATTTCGCTAGAAGCAAGAGGAAAGAACGGATCGATGCGAGTTATATAAAATCTGTAGCTAGTTTTTCGATGTAGAATAGTTTGTTACACGGGAGTGAATAATTCTGGTTATCAGATTTTGTCAACAACGCTTGTTGCTTTCATTTATTCTTAATTCTATTAGGGTTAGTAAAGGAGTGCAAGTATCTTTTCAAGGTCTCAAGAAAATGTGCGCTTTTTATACGCGAGAAAGTAAAAATTTAAGAGATTTGATTCCCTACATACACCAATTCGAGCTATTTAACGACAAATTTTAAACTTGCCAGTTTTATAAATAATCGCGGAGGATTGAGTTTTCTGACTTTTCTGTAAAATTTTACATGTTGGACATAATACGAATTTTCAACGATACTCCTCATATAAGGCCTAGTACACTTATCACTTAAGAGATAGTACAAGATCCACCTAAGATACTAAGAGGTTACCCAAACACATTCCTCTGTGATAGTACTATTACTTGTGCGCATATATACCTTACTTTTTATTAAGAATATAAGAGAAAATAGACTTGGCGTGTTCTGGCATCCTGATATGTTCGTGTGTACGATTGAACTAAGTGCAGGTACTTACAGGTATGATGACAGTTACAAGTACAGTGACGTTCTTACCACCTAGAAGACCCTACATCATGCTGGTATATAGAGGTCAGCATAGTATTAATTACAATCTTACTTCTGTTGCACCTACAGAGTAACAGTAGGGAGGCCATTAATGCTTGTGATTGGCGAAACAAAGACAACGATAGGATAAACAATGAAACATCCATTCTACCCTTTCAATAATATCATTACATTCAACCATAGATTATTCTATTACTTATAACTCGAACTTGTTTATTAGTTGTAAAATAATGCGATTAGTTCGTGTGTAGTTTCATCATGAGAAGTATAGTATTATAATATGTGAGATGCAATAACTGTAACGTCCATCCTCAGTTTTTTTATTGTTGTAAAATAAAAGTTTGTCAAATGCTGCCTATTCGTATCTTAAATGTATTGCAGTTCTTACAAAGAGTTGAAGCGAAGGCAATTCTTAAGTCGTCTCTTGCACAGCGAACAAATTCTTCAAAAACTGAAGAAGGTGTGTATCTGGGAATATATCCTACTAGTTTCGTCTAGTAGACCCTACATACGTTTACCTATGAAACAATGCTTTTATTGCAAGTAAAATTTTCAAGTTTTGGATTAAAGACTTTCAAAATATATTTCTCGTTACAGATGGCTGGGATGCAAGGCTACCTAATGTGATGGATGAAGTTGGTTTGTACGCAACAGCAATAGCCGGAGGATTAGCATTTCTTATCATCGCAGCTCACCTTCTTCTCTTGCTGTGTTTGATAATCGACTCGGTATCAACGGGAACAATCGTAATTGACAGAACAAAAGTTCGAAGTAGCATTCCCAAAATTATTTTGGATCGAGTAATACAAGACGAAGAGTATGACGATGTTAGTTGGGATGAAATAGTGGAGGCGGAAGGTATTCACGCACACGACCAGTTAGCACCGGATGCAAGGCAAGAAAGGGAGGAATCTGAAATTAATTTGCTAAAAGAAGACCAAAAGTCCATGAAGTCCCTCTGAATTTTATTAAGAGGACCACGTCAGATGGTTAAAAATAAATACTATTTGGTTCAAATGTTTCATGCAATGCAGGTATTTATGAATTGATAAACAAGTTTTGTAATAAAATGCACACAAAGCTGAAAATGTTGAGTGCAGTGACTATTATTACACCATAACAATAAATCAACTTGAAAATACATTCCTAGATGATCTTGTGAAAAAAATGTAGTTTTTTTTATAGAATTAATCCATTTCCTCTTTAGCAAGATAAAAAATAATCAAAGATATAACTGATATGTTGTTTATTTAAGATTTTGAGTACAGAAATAAACCTTCTGAACATAGAACATTTATATTTAACCCTTTGTATAAGAGGACAAGAGAAACAATACTTCCATTTTATTTTATAATCAATAAAGGTTTATAATGTTTAACACAGGCCAACAATGTACTATAATAAAATACATCTTTGCATCAATTGTTTAATTTTTCAACAGAAGTATATTATAATGTATATATTATATTATATATATATATATATATATATATATATATATATTATATATATTATATATATAATATAGTATATTATATATATATAATATATATATATATATATATATATTATATAATATTATATATATTATATATAATATATATATATATATAATATATATTCCGAATACTGGGCAGGTCAGCATTCCATTTTATAATACAAACATTTATTTTTCTTCTCTAGAACCAGGGTCAAATTAAAACTTTGACTTTAATGTTTCAAAGTTTCAAGAAACAAAATTGGTTCTTGGGAGATTGTTACAATAATTAGAGTAATCTATTTTAGCAAACACAGTTTACTTCTAATTGAAAAATTGTTATGTGGAAAGCTGACCAACTTAAATGCAGTTGCCCAGAACTCCAATCTGATGGATTCATTTAATGAGACATTAAATATCTTAACCATTTTTGTCTAAGGGTATGAGTACTAAGCAACAACTTACAAAAAATATGGAACATTATGTTGTCTTAATAGGATATTAAATTATATTTATAATGTGTTAGATTGCATTATTCTTACACATTTTTATTTGATATAATTTATTTAAATTCCAAAAGAACTCACCATTTGCAGGAAGACCTACACCTCACATGTTTGAAATTTCCAAATATTTGGGAACTTAATAACTGATGACAGTAATGTACCTGTTAATGTGTGCCAATGATAGTTTTCATATAATTAATTAATAAAAATTTAAGCAATTTGTTTTATTTTATCTTTTAAACAATAATACATTTTTTTTGTAAATTTCTTGTTTTGAAGGATTGGTCATGATGGGAACAGGATTGATAAATAGAAATTTTCATCAGCATTAAAAATATATTTTTTTTTAAGAATTGTGGATATTTGTGAAAATGAGGTGTATCTTAGGGTTTTACTTTTGATGTGAGTTTCACACTTCCGAAAGATCAATCTTAAATTTTTATATTCCAATAGAGAATAACCTGCATCAAAGAGCAGTTTTTATTTTTATAACTTGCTGGAAAAGCTGTAAAATTTTTTAATTTAAAACACACTAGTAAATGCTAACATAATTTTCTGACACTGAAAGTCTGTACTTTTTACATTATATACAAATATACACATTATGTACAATACTTTAATAACACTAATATGTTTACGTTGTTCAGTGTTCATTTCATCCTTCAACAAAGGCAGTGAATGTAATGTCCAATGGATGAAATGCTTTCTGGAACCTCCTGATGAATATTTAATACTCACTCAGTTGCATTTTCAATGTCTTCATTCAATGGACTTACATTTTCAATGTTTCCTCATGGACAGAAAATATATAAGGAAGCCACTTAAGCAAGAATATGTAATTTAATCATCTGTTTTCAGAATCTTGCTCAATTAGTTCCACACATGAAAATTATTGCTATTTTTTGCATAGGCAGTATTGTGTGTTCTACTCAAATAAATCACTTTCACAATAATAGCAAAATGTTGGAATAAACCTAGAACTTTAATAGTAAAAAGTTTTTGAGAGATAAATTAATCATTTCTAAATGTTATTCTTACAATTCCTGTACAGTCCATTGTTCACATAGGGTTTAAAATATAATCTATTCCCATATAGTTCCAAATAGGATATAGTTCAATTTATAAATTAATTACAATGCAGCTGAATATTTTAAATGGAATTCCACTAAATACTCCAGAATAAATTCAGAAATAATTTTATTAACGAAGGTTCAGTCATTGAATGTGCAGCTGCCAAGACCGCTCTCCCTAAAACCATGACCATTTCAAAAATCCATTTAGCAAGTCCTACTTGCTTAAACAGATGCTACCAAAGGTACTAATAGAAATAACAAGAATGTATTGAAGCTGAGGAATGAAAGTTTAGTAGAAATTCTATTAAAGCATTTGTGTTCATAGTGTAATGAACACTATGGCATCCTGATAATTAAAGAAAATGAAAGGGGGGGGGGGGGCATTCAATAGTTAAGGTTAGGGAGTTTTCTCCAATATACCGTGTACCCAAAAATATTGGGTAGGTGGGTATGCATCTCCCCTTGCAGTGTCACTAATGGTAATAGAATCATATGAAACAAAGGGAAACCAAATTTCACATTTTGAATTACTTTTTATCTCAAATCTGACATATTTTAAATTCCATAAAACTAGAACTAATATGTCATGGGGGTGGTGGTGGGGGGGATCTCCACATTGACATGTCAAAGTGTTGTTAATGCAAAAAAAAAAAGCGTTTTAGAGATGAGAGATTATTTCAACTTTCAATCTCTGTAGTAATCTCTAATGAATATTTGTTTTCATTTTTTTAGAAGTACTGAATATTTGTAGTTTTTGTTTCTGATAAACATAATGAACGCATTTTTGAGAGAATTATTGACAATCATGTATGCAAATTTATTTAATTTTTATAAAAAAAACAAAACAAGATGAAACAAAGTACAAATGGGAAACACAACAAGAAGAAATTACATACTCTTCTCAAGTTTCTTATACTAATAAATATTATGAAGAAGTGATTTCAACTTATTCCAACAAGTTGTCTATTTATGGAAAGTCTATGACACAAACTTGTTTCTTACATTTATACTGAAGTTTCTATTGATAAAAGAGCTAAATATGGGCAATTAATTCAATATATGCCATATTCCAGTGTCACAAAGAATATCGTTTGAAATTTTATTCTAGCGTAAGCATTCGAGTAAGAGTCCTTTAAACAATCACTTATTGTTTTCATTTACACTTTACATTTTTTCAGAATTTGAAAATTCTCACCAATATTAAAATGACCTTGTTTCAAACTGGTTTCCAATTTCTACCCTTGTATCTTACTTGATTAAGAATTACTTTTGTCATCCTTACTTTAATATGAACACAGTATATTTCATATTGTTTCCCACTTTAGGTTATTAGGTTTGTTTTAAAATTGTGAATTCTTAATTACAAATAGTACTTTGGAAAATAATTTTCTAATCTGAGACAAATGCATAGACAGCCTAATTTTGAGTAACATGTGAAAATAATATTTTCAGTTGTTAGACTTATTAACAAATTATGAGATTTATATGTCTAAGTTATGTTTGAAGACTGAGTTATAGTAAGTAATATATATTGTTAATGTACAACAACAAATTACAAAAAATACATTGAATCTACAATTGTATACTCGAACAAATGATACTACCACATGCCTCAGGAAATACTGCTTTGCCATGTCATTGTGCTTACAAATACTATTTATATCCATATCACAAAGATATTATGTTCTTAGGCAAGTTGCCACATCACATAAGGTAAGTCTTAAAATGATTTTAAGTGGATTTTAGTTTTAAAAAAATATTTACAATATAGAACAGTTTAGGAAAAGCTTAAGTTACATGTACGAGAAATAGTGCAGAGTTTTAGTAAAAAGTTGAAAGTGTATAGTATGTTTGAATAAGGATAGGTATTTTTAATACATCAAACTTGTCAGTGGTTAATGGAGGAAAGTATATATTTATTTTATGCCTCTATTTAACTTCTTGATCATTTAGTGTATCAATGAAGTTCACAGAAAATGTCATTGTCATGCAAAAGACAGCTGAAAGCACTTAATTGGTTTGTTGCTTAGAGTTCGTCTTGCATTCAATGCTTCAACTACTTAAAATTTCTCTTCTAGTTACTTTAATATATATATGGAATGCCACATTTCTTGGCATCTGCAATCCTTAACAACTTAAACATTAATTTTGTGTTAACAGCTTTTTGAAGAAAAACTGCTTCAACTTTAAGACATGAAAATGACATTATACACAGACAGAATAGACACAATTGAAAAATAAACCATTGAATATAAATATAGCTAATGTATAAAATGTGTAGGGCATCCGAGATAATTCGTTTAATACACAAAGAAGATTATCAAAAAAATTTAAACAACTAATTTAATTATCACTTGTAATAAATAATCAAATTAAAGATATCAAATAATATTCTCTCTTGATTTTTTCAAATTCACACAAATTTTGAATTCATTAATTTTGAAATTAAAATATTTTATTTCCTCTAGGATATTATGATTTATTATCTCAGATATTCAGTGCTTGATACGCATACATGTATGAAAATTCAAATATTTAAAAAAGAATGATCAAACCGGAAACAATTTCTCTGGAAAAAATAATCATCGCTCACATTCATAGTATATACCTTGTATACATACACACTCAAACAAACATTGAAACAAACAAAGATCAAAGTTAAAACAACACTGCTTTAATCCTTTGGGAATAAATTAAGGAAAGTCACAAAAATACATATAAGCTTTGGGTTGGTTCAAAAGAGGTAGTTTTCTGGATCTAATGTCCCTTGTGCAGACTCCCATATATGGTCCACGAGAAAACAAATAGTTCACACCTATGTGCATGTACAATACTTTTCAAGTAGAGATAAAGCAGTAGAAATAGTTTCTTAAAATATTTTCTTTTAGATGCCCCCAAAGATATTGAAAGCTTATAAGAATAAGGAAGAAGAAAGACATATGGGTAAAGATATTTTGGTGAAGAAGAGAAAAATTATTTTAAGAATGAGAAATATTGTCTCTTTGCAGAACCTGGAATTTGTCATTCATATCCTTCTTCGCACGCACTCATTCCATCGGGGTTCGCTGTCGGCTGCAGCATGAGATTGCCCAGTGACCTCACATCTTGGATGAAACAGAATTAAAAATGGACATCTTAATTAACAGGTAATTGATACCTGGATATAGTTGCTTTTAAGTTTCCTACCTTTCAATCTGGAATGCATATTTGTTAGTTGCCTTTTATGTGGCATGCAAAAACTCGTCAATGTAACTATTTAGTTAGTTTTCTTATTTTTCTCCATTTTCAATTTGTCATTTACAAATTGAGAGTTAATTTATATGTAAAATAGTTTATACAAGTTCTTCATAAATACTAAGTCAACAGGCTTCCCATTTCATCTACTATGGTACATAATTATCACTGTTTCGTCATTTGGTCAAGCTATACATTTACAATTTACATTACTCTTCAAAATGCACAGTAACTTCTATGCTTTAAAAAATATGTATATTTCTAATATTCATTTGTAAGATCAGCTGCAACAACTATTCAAAACAGAAATTTGTAAGTAGGAGTGTTTAGCTAGCAAGCTCAGCATTATATGATTTTCATGTAAAATAAGCTCCATAGAACTGTCTACTCATGCAAAATGAATTCAATGGCTTTGTCCATTAAAGCATATGCTGCTGCATAAAATGAAATTAAGTAGGTGTATGTATGACAGACACTTTATGTTGTAAAAGAAATTTATGGAAGGACAGTCTTGAGTTATATATATAAGGTAAATGATGACACTTTATCATCAACAAAAATCAATGTAATCACAAAGCATACAGAAACTCTAACAGCCAACAAGTACATAGATATCATATGTAATGACTTATTATTCACATTGAAAGTCTGATTTTTTAATGCATTGCAGACATTATATTAAACACAGGAGAATTATCAAGGAAGCTGGGTTATTAAATATAGCTCACATTCATTGATGTTTAAATTACTTGAAAGTTGAATGTTGCTTGCATTGTTTAAATAAATTTGTTTTGTAAGTTCTTATGTTGGCATTTACATACACACATTTTCACCAACAGGTACTGCATATATTAACAACAAAAACATAAGTGTATATTAGAAATTACTGAATGTGATGTGCATATTAAACACATGGAACCAGTTGATTCAAAATCCTGTACTACCTTTGTTTCAACATTGAGCAAATTTCCTTGATGAGATTTTGAGTAAAACAAAGGAATTGGAAAGACCGTGTAAATGTCTACAAATACTTATATCTTAATTTATTATAGGTACTTAAGAACAAGACAAGCCTGCTAATGTAAGGTAACTTGCCCTGATGGAACATAAATAAATTAATGCTAATGACAATATGAAAATAGCACAGCCACAGATCACTATGTGATATTAAGTAGGCAGTAGCATAATGCAACCAAACAAAGAATATTAAAAGGGGAGAGAGGAAGGAAAAATAAATTTAGTGGAAAATAAATATCTACGAATAAATATGGGAATATAGGATTGAGAAGTCAACTGAAGACAAAGATAAACCATAAAAGTATATTTATAGTGTTTTTATCATGTAACAAATTTTGGTTCAGATGCAGCCAGCAATGAGTTTCTGGTTGCAGGAAATGGAAACATTCATTTATTAATATTATGAAACAGCAAATTAAAATACAAGTAGCACTATTATGCTAAGCCAAATGTTTGCTACTTTAATGCCTCTGCTGTACTGAAAAATGCCGCACGAAGCGTTATGTATCACCAAAATGCTTAGCACATCAAGCGATACTTCAGACACACAATCATACAGGTTTCTAACAACAGTTTACAAGAATTTACAAAGTCAACAACGATAACAGCAATACAAATTAGGCCAAATAATATGTAATAGTTTGCTGATGAGACCTGTCAAAGATGGAAAATAAAATTGACATTTCCAGTCACAAACTTAATCAATGTGATGAATGACAGTCATTCTCAAATAACAAAGTAATCACTAGAATTGGATCCATCATGATGGATTTCTTTATACATTCACTTATCTACCTAATCTGTACAAAGGAATATGAGATAACTAAATTGGCTGGGTTGAAACATGCATCATGAATTCACACTTACCATTTAAGACTAATCTCTCATCAGTGTCTTTCACTCATGTATACACACACATTGTAAGTTTCTCCTAGCACATGTGAACACACTGGCATGCACACATGTAACATGCCACTGAGCGCATGGAAGCACATGTTTTTAATGGGTTGCATGCATTTGGGGTGGGTCACAGAGGTCAGCCCAATCCAAAGCGAATGCACACAGCTCTAAACCATAAATACATTGCAGTAACTATGAGAAACAAGAAAATTAGTAAGAAAAGTGACTACAAATAGTATGTAGATCGAAATGAGTTTAATTTCAACAATTTTCCTTCCCATAAGGTGTCTACACAAAATGGATGGATTTTGACATTATAAATAACAACATATAGCAATGATCATATGAAAATGAAATATGAATCACTGATGATAAAATGGTAATTGTGAAATGAAATATTTTATAAATGTTTATAACTAATTTTCTTTAACTTTCCGATATGTTGAAGACATTTCTAGTATGAAAAAGAAATTAAATAACAAAAGGTAGAAATCATACTTGTGCAACATATTCTCATGTTTTCTAATGTCTTTACAAACGATTTTTCAGATAAGTTGTCACAAGAAGCAGACCTTATTGCACTATATAATATCATTCAAAATCAACTGTACACTTCAATAATTTCTTAAAAATATAAATCTGGATAAAGGCAATAATAGGTTGCAAATAGTATTTTAATCTCAACCACAATAGTCAGAGAGGTGGCCAGATACTATCCAGAATTACAATTTGTAATTATGTCACACAAGGTATTTCTGTTTAAATTTACTAATACAATTTAAGATTTGTATTTAATTTTATATTTTTATCTTACTGTCTAGAATGTTATTTAAGTGTAATGTTAAAATAGGCACATCTTGTAAGGCCACTTTTCTTGGCTGTCTGCCTAAGTGTGCTACTTTTTCTCCTTGTTGTTGCTGAATTTGGCTGGCATGTCTCTCTGAACTATAGTGGTTGAGTTTTATGTTTCTTCCCCTCGGAATACAGACCTGCTGGAATTTCCATAATTTATAAAAAGCTCTATTCATAACTGTGTTCAGAAACAAATCTAACATCAGGCTGAGAGAAATAACATACATATACTTTGCTTGTATATATACTTTTGAACTCCTCCTGAGAGCTAAACAACATTGGTCACTTCTGGATATGGTCAGGTGCCTTCTAAATAAAGCATGCTATTGAAGTACCGTACGTAGCACTGAACTGTATCCCCTTCCTTGCTTCCCCTGGTATTGTGATAAAAACACAATTTATCCCTATCATTGAATCAAATGGATTCTTTTGCAATGGCACAACCAAAAGCATAAATCAACTCACCCATCACAATGCACTCCTCTAACCTGGGCATTATCAGGGAACAACAACAAATGTTTGTGTCTTCAATCTGAAGTAATTCTTTCTTTTTACGTGGTAACTTGCCTACCATTCGGTATCAATAGTTCTGGACTTCTCTTCAGAGCCTTCAGACGTGCATCCCTTCAGCTTTTCAGCTTAGCTCACTATTCCACCCAGGAAACCTCCAAGGCGGTTCTCTCTATCACTTTCTCGCTCAAGACCAAAACAAAACGTCTGGTTTCTCTTCCATAACATTCGTTGTATCCAAACAGTAAAATATCTCATCCCACTTCCTGAGTCCATTATTTAGACACTACCATGTGTACTTCTTTAGAAGCCTTGAATCACATGGTACACTTCTAAACTGGACAGGATTACATACGTTAACCACAAACAAAAAAAGAACAAACTTGTGAAGTACTTAATGAGTCTTGGGCCCCCAAGTTCACCTCCCACAATTTTTGATCTTCTGAGTACAAGAACAATGATGGCTACAAAAGCTTCTGTGCAGAATATTGTCACAGAGAAGGCCATGCTGTAAAAGAAAAGAAACAATCAATATTGTAAGCAGCAAGAAATATTAAAAAGTTCTTTAATAAGTTACAGTATTTATAATCAATATCATGTAACAATGTATTTTAAGAGGTAACAAAATAGCTCTGAATATTTTCATCTATAGAAAAACTAGTTACCTAACTGACAGTTCTCATTCATTTTTAATTGAAATTGACATAAATAGGATCTACTTCGGTTTCAATTACTCAGCAACATATTGTATAAATGCATCAATTTCTGCAGCTGTACAATATTGCCTCACTCAATATAAGTACTTTGTATACTAATTCATGAATTTTCAGTTCAGAAGTTAGAATTTTTAATCAATTTAATAGCAATCTACATTGAATGTCAGTTATTGAAGACTGAATAAGATGCCATGAAAATATTTTCATTCAACAGTTTTTTTTATTTTTATTTAGAAAAATTCTGACTGATGGCAATTAAACTTGAATATTATTTAATGAGGTATAATTTTTATTCCAACCCTATATTGGAGTGCTGTGAAGGCTGTGCTAGGCAATTTAATTTCATTTCTTTTACTTTGTCAATGAACAGTAAAAAACTGCATGTGACACATCTACTAACGATAAACTGTGGTGACCCCTGTAAAAACCACGCTCATTGTTTGCTTTCATTGCAGTATGAGAAATAAAATGAATATTATTATAATAGTTGTATTATTCAAACTGTACTTGTTACAACATCCCAAAATTCAAATAAAATATTATTATTCTAACAGAAAGGGCGGTTAAATAGTTGTCATCTAAGACTGAGGCGGCTCATAGCTACACTTAGTCCACTTTTTGTTGTTTGAAAGCTGCAACTACCTCCACATGATTTGACGGAATCATGTGGTAGCGTTTGCCACAACATACAGGACACAAAGCGTTAGTTTTTCTTTATTATTTGGCAAGGTGAGCAATGTTTTTACCATATATGTAAATTCGTACGAGTAATTTTTAGTTTATACGCAAAACTGGCACTAAAGCGTCGAGTCCCCGTTTCACTAGCTCTCAGGCGAAGTTTGTCCACCCTGGCCCGCTGGGATCGTTTTCCCAGCCGGCAGAAAAGCAGTCTGCCAAAGCGAAGGTCATTCACGAACTCTTTGGTCGGTCGCCCTGGTCCCTTGCAAGCGGCGCAGGCACTGGGCATGGGGGCCACGAGTTTTCGTTTGCCTTCCTGTATTCGGCAAAATTGATTTAAATATTTATTTATATTCGCATCATTGTAATTAAACAATAAATTGTGTAGTATATAATAATAAATAAGTATTATATATATAATATTATATTGTAAATACAATATACTAACAAATATTTTTATTTAACAAAAATCTACGATGTCCCCCTCCAAAATAATCGACTGGATCAGTCTCTGCGTCGCAAGCTCTTTAGATGTTGACTAATATAAAAGACCTGTACCCTCAACCCCGTTCCCCCGCTAGGCTTCATCTGGGCTTTCGGTTAGCGAGTGGCTCTTGGGTAGCAACAGCAAGTAAATCATCTGTCCCACAGTGTACACCCGCGCATAATTCTCTCTTATCTAATTTGCAGATAATGCAAGAAAGTTGATATGCGGCCAAGAGAGTAATTTTACAAATGAAACATGCGCACATTATATGTAAGTTCATTTAAGAAGCGAAATGATAACCTTCTATAACTGGCACAAGCTGCGTTTGCTCAGATAAGAATCAAGTCTTGATGCGAAAATATTTACATAATTGAGGCCCCTCAGGTAGGAAGGTATTGCGCTAAATCTGCACATATTATTCTTCCTTATACGTCATACAGTTTTTTATCCGTTTTGACGATAATAACAAATAAATACATGTTAAAAATATTCTCCGTTTTATTTTTGTCTTTTGATACATATGGAATGGAAACTGCAATATAGAAGTAAATAGTTATGAAAAATAAATTTGTCAAGAAGTAATGGAATTAATTTTGAGGCGCAGACAAAAAATGAATAATTTTTAGTACTTTTAGCACCTTGTGTCATTTTAATTTCTAAATAAATAATTTTTCTTTTATATCAGCCTGTCTAATGGCATTTTTGTCTTTCATTTACATCATACACAGGTTTTTATTGCTTTTTACACGATAAAAAATAAACTTATTTTAAAAATACTTTCTATTTTATTTTTGTCTTGATAAATATGAAAGGGAACTTAAGTTCCCCTCTAGCTTTCGACCAGTTATTTCCAGCCAACTACTGTAATACAAAATGTTTTAAAGTACATAATTTATTCACGCGTGTGCATTCACGCGTGAATTCACGCGTGTGCATTCACGCATGCATTCACGCGTGTGGAGTGTTGCGAGAAAGAAGAATGTATTTTACCTGATGATTGGGCCACAATGAGCTCCGAAACGTTGTGAAGTGTTTTGAATATTAACAAACATGTCTGCCTAAAATTATAGAGGTGTATAAATGAAGGAATAAACAATTTTTCTTTCATTCAAACACGGAATTTACTTTTTTTCAATTAACTTTACAAGTTCATAGGGTAATCTCAGAGCAACAAATACATGACAATTCTTTAGAAGTTCACTATCACAATGAAAACCAATCCTACTCTTATTTTATGATCTCACTTTTGTAAGACACAGTAAACCCTCGTCAGCACAAACTCGATTATCAGGAATTTTGCGGTAACACGAACAGAATTTGGGTCTTGGCAAATAAACATAGCAATATGGATATATAAAAATTAATGTATTCTCATTATTACTCGAGCACCGATTATTTTGGTGTCTTACAATTCGTGTAACGAAGGTTTACTGCAGTAAATGCTATCATACATTGATATATTAGCATTCTAAGGAGCTGTAAATGAAAAATCCACTATTTACCTTTATAAACAAATTATATCATATCTTTAATATAAAAATGTGTGAATGTGTGAATTCCACAAACAAACCTTTTGAACTATTGAATTGTTTACTCCCTAATTTTGGACAAACACTTTTGATCAGTAGAGAAAAAACAACAACATGGGAGCGTGAACAATTGGGGATACAATTCCTAAATTGTACCCCAAATTTGGTTACACTCCCAAATATGTATTACCTGAATGTACGATGCCGCATCTAGGCAGGCGGCGTACTTACCGAGCGGAGGCACCGCGAAAGGGGGGGGGGGGGGGCGAGGAATAGGCGGGCAGGGATGAGATGAATGAGAGCTTTGAAGGGGGGGTTGTTTTTTTTTAGACACACACACACACACACATACATATATATATATATATATATATATATATATATATATATATATATATAAGTATATATATTTAATAACCGGGTGCGTCTCTGGTAATAAGCTTTGTTATTAAAGGATGTAATATTTTTCTTAAAATGTGATTCTTATTTTATGGTGGTAATCTCTGATTAAATAACTTATCATTTGTTTTTCTGATCCACTTTATTTTAAGCGTAGAATTCTAGCAAATTCGTAAAACACTACTTAGAAAAAGAGAGTACAGAGTTTCGCTGGAGGCAAATTTCCAGGTAATCAATATTTTATTGTGGATTAAAGGCCATAAAATTATGCCAAATGGCATGCGTATGATTATCTACAAAATTAAGAATGGCTCATTCCATAATTTTTAAAATAGCCGTAGAATAATCCAACGTATTTTTTGGATCCAAATAAATATTGTATACGGTCCTGGGGAAATTGGTTTTAGGGGGAAATCAGCAGATTACGAGATTACTGAGCGATAGGGGTGGAAATTACCTCCCGTTATCTCAGGAAACCGTAATTTGAGGTTTCAGCAGTACAACAACAACAACAACAACAACAACAATAATAATAATAATAATAATAATAATAATAAAATCATATCCTGAGCCAATCCGGTTTCTTCCGGATGGCCAAGTCACCATCTTTGAAACAGTGTCACTCTCCGCCATTTTTTTATTAGCCAACTGCACATCCCATTAAGGACAAAGCCCTCTTGCTCGAGAAGGGAATCGTGTCAGATATGATGCATGCATGAGTACATATCTTCCTGAGTTCCAGATTTCTCTCTCTTACAACACACTATCATGAGCCTTCTGAGCAGCATAATGTTTAACCTAACCGCTAATTTGCAGCTATTACAGAGAGACATATCAAGACGCGGTACTCACTTGCCCGGCTTCACGTAGAAAGTGGTGCCGCGGATGGCGTGGTAGATGGCGGCCAGGGACCAAGCGAGTCCGATGCCCAGGAACACGTTGACGGCGTTGCTGCCGGTGACGTTGCCCACCGAGGCGTCCGCGTACTTGTCCTGAATGGCGGCCACTTTGCTGGCGAAGGTGTCTGCCGAGGAACGCAACGTAAGCGCCACCGCCGCGAGAAAACAGCTGGGCGAGGAAGGCGTCGCAAAGTGTCCACAAGCTTTGCTCAGCCCTTCTCCCCCGCTTCAATTGGCAGAGAAATAAAGCCAACCCTAAATTTCTCGCAGACTGTTTTTCTATTGATATTAATTTTCCCATATACACAGTTAAAACGAATATTGTGAGAGTGCAAAAAACTATTTTGATATGTTTTCGTTTGTTTAAAAGTTTTAGGGAGTTTACCAATACTGAAAAAAAGTGTTTTCTTAAAAAGTACGTACTTAGCCCTGAACTCCACCACCTCTTAAAATGTACATACATCTTCTAAATCTCCGAGGGCGAACCTGAAGTTCTGAGAATTTGAAGGAAAACTTTTGATTTGGAGGGCAGTTAACCATACTCAGTTTACATTACATCCAGTTTTCAGTTTCTGGATTTTCTCACACACCACTGAATTCTTTGAGGGGACGGGTAAATCGAGCAAATTGTGCTGAATAGTATGGTGAATTCACATCATTTTAAACTTTTGAAGTTTGGAATATTAAAAATGTTCATTATTTGCCCGCACCTTTTGTTTTATTATATTTTGGCACTCGAATTAATCTTTCTAAACTATATGATTTTTTCTGAAAAAAATAATTATTTGAGATATATCTACATTGCCATTGCATTTTTGAGATGCTTCCCACAAGATTTCTACACTGTCTTAGTCATTACCGATGATATCTAAACTAACGTAATTAGAATCAAAATATTTTGTAGTTTTCCTAAACAAATTCCGCGCTGGGTAGTCTCGGAATTTGTGTTTGATAATGAAGAACGAAGATTATTTATTATTCGAGTTCGGGTTAAATTCCTGTACATATTTACACAAATGTTTGTTAATACCTCTGAAACAATTAGGCTAAACTTAGAGGTATCGAGTCCCACATTGTATCGTATATAGCATGAAGTCTATTTTGGGAGCTGCACGACGACGGTGTTAGTTTCAGTACGGTAGACACCCCTGTTGAATATTTTTGTATCAAGTGGATAACCCAACCAATCTGCGTTACAATTGGAATGTGATATCTTCATTCATGTTTTTTATACTCTTTATTGATGGACTGGATTAGTTTGATTGTACTGGATTTTTAATACTCTTATTGATGCATAGAATTTTAATTATTTTTCCGTTCACCTGGACCAAACGACCAAGTGAAGCAATACTATCCTTTCCGGACCGACTCTTTTGTCGTTATTCACAATTAATTGAAAGTTTTTAAACTACTCTCCTGTAAAATAAGGTAAATATAACGCAGTACCTTTTACCGAGGTTCAAAAATATATTTAAATACTTAATATTTACTTTCAATAATTCAAGAACATTATGGGAGAAATCACGACTTAATTTCAAATTACAAATACGCGTTAATTTTCAAGTTGATTAATTATCACACACAATTTTGTTATTGGTGAAAATGTACTCACGAGTAATGAGAAGAAGAGTTCTTGTTATATTTGTCGCTGTGCTGCATTATATGTTTTCTAAACCGATCTCCACGACTACTTCATTGAAGAAGTCCCTTAATAACACACCTACTTCCATTCAAGGGCTGCATTAAATATTTGAAATTTTAAAGATTCAAGTTTTAAGATTTCCATTTCATTCTTTTAAACACAGGCAAATGAATTAGGCCCCCATTTGATCAAATGTCCATTTCTGCTATGAATTCACATTTTGTTAAAAAATAAAGAACGAAAATCAGATTCACTCAGAAGGTCGTATAAGTTAAGTGTGAGAAAGGGCATAGACAGTTATGACTGAGAGCAGAAGAAAGAGCGATGTGCTACTGGTATTTACAATATTTACAGTGCTGGGTATCAGTTTGACATAGAGGGTATTATTTACTGCGGTATACAGGCACAAGTAGATACATGCGAAAAATTCCTTCAGAGTAACGCCAGAGAGTAAGTTCTGCACTGTCGACGCTTGGAAAAATATTTATGGTTGCAGTACATGCTTCTAATGAGATATTAAATTTATAATGAATTTAATGGGTGCTTATACAATGACTTTTTGGTTGAAAATACTCAAAGATTTTTTGTATGTATGTCTTAAGTCATTTAAACTATGCTGCCTTGGAATAAAAAAAAATCATTATATTCGCTGGTTAACTTCGAAAATAAAGATTATTAACTCTATAAATTAATTATTTGTAATGTTTATTACATAATTTAGAGAATGGTGCAGAATTATTTACATTTTCTACATTAAATGATATCGAATCAGAATTATTCTTTCATACAAATCACTAATTATTACATTAGCATTAAATATTAATATGTACATTATCCATATAAATATTATTATGATCAGTAATAATAATTACTTTAGGTTCATCACCTACAAACTATTTGACACTTTATACAGATTGTCCACTAATTTTATATGCTTAAAGTTTATTTCTTTACGAATACATCAATCATTTACTACAAGTGATTATTATGTATTATGTTTACTTCCAAATTCAAATGGAAATAGTGCATCGTTGAGAAGTTTTTTAATCCAAAGTAACGGACAAAATGACGATCTGGCGTTACTCCGAAAGAATCTGAGCAATAATACTCACCAGCTCTTTGGCCTGAAAGTCTGTAGGGAGGTTAGGGTATCCTAAGAGGAAATTGGTACTGAATACAGCAGAGTTCCCACCCTAATAACTTTAACGCAGCAGAAACTGTCACACATTGCATTTGTTTTAGGGCGGAAATAATTCAAATTCAAGGTTTTCGGCCGTCGAGTACTTTAGTACTATTATGCCGATTACTCTAATAAACTGAGATTAGCCAAATTGAAACTGTGGAGTGCCAATGTTTTTATTACTTTTATTAAACATTGTTCAATGCTTCCCAACTTTCACCAAATGATCTGCGTTTCTTTGAGTGTCCATATTACCTACACTTTTAACCAACAATCATATCCGCTTTTTCACTCAACGCGTAACCACAAATTGTGAGGTGATTTATCCCAAAATTTGGATTCTGACCGCTGGCGATGGAGGAAAAAAGCTGTGAGGCGTGAAAGGAGATGGGATGATAGAAGATGAAAATTGTTGAAGGACGATCCATCCCAAGCGGCATAGGACAAAATGCATAATTCATCTCCCCTTATTCTTCTAAAAACTTCTGGAGTAATGTTGGCAAAACACCCTTTTACTGATGACCCCGGAGATTTTCTACTCCAGACATTTTTCAGGGGCGGCAGTATCGGAGACCGCCCTGCGAAGGGCGAACTCCAGCTACGCACATAGTGGAGGGGCAGGGGCGGAGGCGCAGAGACAGCGATGGCGACAGCTCCTGCGAGCGGGCCGGGAGAAGCCGCTCTTTCGGCAAACGTCGCGTCGGCCGGGAGTCGACGAGGGAGGTTCAAAGAGCGTGGATTTCCGAAGCGGTAACAAGGCAGAGTAGCTGGGGTCGAAATTAACGTGACGAGACGAGACGATGACTGGACGTCTTCAAAGGCACGGGTTACACAAAGAAACGCATCCAGGGCCCTCTCTCGTCTTGAAGATTCACCCTTCTCTCTCTCCTTTGGAGAAAATCGAGAGAAACTTCATGAGGATATCAGGAAATGTTAGCAGGTGTCAAAAGAAAATAGGGTAAGTATTTTGATTTGCCTTGAAAAAAAACAGGAAAAAGAGGTAATTGAAATTAAATTAAATCAGATATGTACTAAGAACGTAGGTGTGCAATACAGGTATGGGCAAATACATGGCACATGAAACTAGGATGCGAAGTGGACAGATTCATTGCTTTTGTGATTTCGGGCGTCTTAACAGCTCATTAATTAGTCTAGCGAGTGTAGTGCATTTTCATCGCGTGAGATGGTGGCATTTCTTCTTTCGCTAGATCTTGAGATCCGCATCTGACGTACAAGTTGGCGTCAGTTTTTTTTTCCACTCAGTATCTCCTCCAGCGGGGCACCATCCCAGCTGGGACACGATCTGAATTCTCGACTGGTCTCCCGACTCGTGTGATAGTGCGGTGAATGGGAATGTAAGTATGCGTATAAGAGGATGGAGGGGGCAGAAACATGGAAGGAAAGATCGCGCGCGGGACGAGCCACCATCCCAGTCGGGACAAGATTTAAATTGTGAGAATGCTGGTATGTTGTTGACATCATTCAAGGATGAAATAATGCAAGTCATCTTATCTCAACTTTATTGAGAGACATTATTAGAGAGCCGGCACTGTCTTCCGATCTTTTCCACATATTGCAAGATTTACGACGGCACATCCATTTAAAGTCGGCTATCTAAATAAATTTAAGTTGAAAAAGCTGCCTTCCACGATTTCATACATTATCTAAAGACCTATCAGATCCCCTGACATGTGTAATAGTGCAATGAATGGAAATGTTAGTATATGTGTATAAAGGGATATGGAAAGAAAGGTAGTGCGCGATCTATGGCCCAAGTATAAGGACGCTGCTCCGGCATTTGTCTGGGATTGTTAAGAGAACCACCTAAAACTACTGATAAGCGCAAACGCTAGCTAGAACTCTTCGCCGGACAAAGGCTGGAGCCAGTGTGGCGAATCCGCCACCGTCGGGACTCAAACCCTACGACCTTCGGTCAGAGCCACGGCCAGAGGCAACAGTCGTTGCCCTGAGCCAGCCCAGCCGATGCGAGGAGTGGAAAATGAAGCGAAGGCAGTAGCTGGAAAGGCGATGGGACCCCGTAAGGGCGCTGGAACCCCGGGGGCGCGAAGGGCCCGCTCTGCGAGCCGTCGCCGTCGCCGTCCAGCCTGCGCGGGCAGTGTGTGGAAGAGGTGCGTGGGCGTTCGCATGCGAGGGAGACGGTGCGTGGGTGGTGCGTGAGGGCTCACCTGGCACACTGGTGCCGAGCGCGACGAAGGCCACGGCCGTGACGGCGTCGTGCAGACCGACCGTGCAACCGAAGTGCGAAGCCACGTCGCCGATGATGGCCGTGAGAGCCCCGACCCCCATTATGGACACAACGAAACACACATAGCCGTCTAACATATCTGGCGAAGCAAAACAAACACACATGGGCGCTGGAGGCGGCCGTTTCACACGGACGCCCCTGCTGATGCGTGGGATGACGCTGCAGCCGCTCTGATGATGCTGGCGCCGCCGCCGTTTCGCCTGCTGCTGCTGCTCGCAAGAGCCCTACACCGCCGCACTACGGGGGGACGCCCCAACGAGTGCTCCTCTCGCACGTCACAGTGTAGAAACTTTATTCATTATAGACGCTGAAAATTCTTGAGTAATTTTTGTAAATAATAATAATAATATAATATAATTAATAATATTATTAAATATCTTCCAATTTTTTTTCTCAAGTCAAAAGCACGCAAACAAGCCCTGGTAACAAAATTTCACCGATCAACTTCTCCCTCGTTTACATTTGGTGTAAGATTATTTATTAGACTGGCCATGAACCGTGACTATTCGCACCAATTTCCCCTTTGATCAGTTCTCAGCTCGCGCGACTCGCGTTATCTCGCGTTCCGGGAGAGGAGCTGTGACTCGCGACCGCACCCCGCTTCCACCGCGTCCAAGGCGACCCACCCCCCCGGCCACCCATCAACAAGTAGACGGACGCGCCACTTCATAAAGCGGCGGGCGACGCATCGCTTTTAAACCGAATTTACAGCGTCGTTAGGAAAGCAATCTGCGCGGATTTTACGAGAGGAAAAGATTTGAAATTTTAACGCGGCGGGGTTTCCGCGGCCGGGCCGGGGCGGGCCGGGGCGTGGCAGGCGGTGGAGCGGGCGGGGTGCGCCCCTCGTTGCGGGCGTGGTGAGGCCTTGATGCTTGCCTGGACTCCTGGCGCTGTTGCGGGTGGCCCATTCGCAGCGGAGGGGGTGGTGGTGGCAGCGCCGAAAATTGGTTAACAAGTTCGTAATAGAATTTTGAGACTAATTTTTTTTCATGTAATTTGGTTTTCTTGATGCACCCAACGGGTTCGTTTGGGTATCAAATTTAGAATGACTTCACTACCGTGACCTGCTCAAGATGTTTAGAGAGGTGAAGTGATTATTCAATTACCTGAATGTTTCGTATAGTACACGAAGGTGTAGGTACGTCAGGATTAATACTTTTTTTAAAAAAAATTGAAATGGTATTCATACATCCTCGAAACTTTCCTTAACTTTAGGACTACACGTTCAAAAACTTACTTTTCCTTTGCTTTCGCGAACACCGTGACGGGTTGTACATTTTGCTGCACTACCCTCTTTTGCAACAAAATTAATTACTATATATTTTTTAAAGCTTTTTTTTCTGGAAAAGGCTGACGAGTATATACTTCGAACTGTTACATATACATTATGTATACGAAAGTAGAACATATTTATAAAATCATCTATGCATTAAGTAATTGGTTTACAAGCAAAGGGATCCCAAAAAAATGAACTTATCTTATTTAGCAAAATAAAATGACTGTATTGCTTGAGTAAAGAATGAGAGTCTAGATTGTTAGTTACAAACACTGACATTAATCAAGACAAAGGGAGGTGAATTCGCGAGCGAGTGCTATGTCTGGTTATTTGTGTGGAATATGCATGCATATCATTACGTAGCGCACAAATTGCAATAAAATTCTTATTTTAATCAAAATGCAGTGATTACATATCACCGGTACGTAGACAACTGCCCTCTACATCTGTAGATACAGTGCGTAAAATCCTGGTTTCGTACGAAGAAAATGTACTTGGAAACTCCCACAACCTCAAAACGCCTTTTCTTGAAACAATTCTTTCATTATCACTTCACCGTTCTCAGGCATCGTCATCATATCCCCTTCCCATGTCTACAAACGTGACGAACCGAGGGTTTAGGTGAGGCGTTTCAATTGGTTGTGGCGCGCCACCTCCCCCTCCCCTCCGGGTGCGCGTGGGCCGCTGGGCTACGTACGTGCTGAAGGGCGCAGGTGGTGAGCTGCCGTGCCGTTTAGTGCAGGCTGTTACAGCGGCGAGGCCGCGCGCAGTGCGTTAGCAGTGGAGGTGGTGGTTCGCGTCTCGTTAAGTCAGCTGCTTCTTTTATCGGCGGCAACGGCCGCCGCACCGGTTTATTCATTCCGAGGGGTTTAGCCATCCACGGTTATTTTGAGTTTTAGCCGGAGGGGTGTGGGAGCGTTTATGGTTCTTTAGTGTTAGGCTGCGTTTGATTAGGAGGCAACGCGCGGGCACCTTGGCCTGTGTGCTGCCCCGTTCCGGATGCCGTGCTGGCGAGTAGAAAAGACTGAGAAGGACTTGCATACTCACAGTGACTGCGTCGGCGGAGTGGCGGAGGAATGAAGAGAGAGAAAGAAAAAATATCGAAAAAGAACAGACATCGAAAAGATACATCAACAAGCAACACCAAATAGTTAAAAATTACTACGAAAATGAAGCAGTCACATCGATGCAAATCAGTGGCAAAATACACGAAATATGTGCGGAAGACACACGTAGCAAGTTTAGATACAGCGAAGAATAATATAAAAAAGTCAAAACTACAGAAACTCGCGTTGAGTAGAGCCACAAATGCAGTGAAAGAGCGCTCAAATTCAACAGAGTATAAGAAGAGAGGGGAGAGGAGAAAGAAATGTTACAATGAGATCCATTTACCCGCAATTTTCTCTCATTTTCGCGCCGTATTTCAAAAAGCAGCCAGGGTGAAGGAAGAAAAAGGTGAAGTAGGTGAACCTTGTAAGTAGAGAACAGTTGAAAGTAGAAAATGCACTTACAATGAATAATCATCTTGAGTACTTCATGAACTTGTAATAACACCGCCGTATCAGTAAAATAAATTTTTATGTCGAGATATTTACTGAATTATAAGAATTTATACATTGCTAGTGAAAATTCGTATTTACATTTAAACTTTCGACTGGACGAAATTAATAGCAATTAAATTTCATTCGCAAGTATCAATTCATTTGCTCTGAAGAATATTAAATGTTAAAACTTTTCCAATTTATTTTGTGTACACTAACTTCAGATTTCTGTTATTTGAACACCCATGTTCTGTGATTGCAAAGAATGCACGTAGAAGTAGAAAACATTTGAAGAAATAGTTGTTTCAAAAACTTCGGCTTTCTTTTACTTTTCGCGTAACTTCGACCCTTAGAGTAACTGGGTATTTGGTAACTGGAGGAGGCTTCAGCAAAAACAAGACTGTTTCACAACTTCACATTATTGCTTCGAAATTGAAATGTATTTTTTTTGCTTTGACCGCTTTTAAAAGAGTAATACTACATTTACTGAAAGAAAGTTCAGCCGAAATCTGTCATTCCTTATCTTCTAGTTTTATCGTGTTTTATTTATCCTCTGTATCGAGATGAATGTGCTTACGAACCCCTCTAATATTAATAACTATCTGTATCACTGTATTAAACTAAACGTCTAGCGTTATTGCATTAGTTTGTTAATAACAATTCTGGAATGTTTTGAACACATATTGACACGTTTATAATATTTTTTTAAAAATATTAAATTCATTGGACCAATTTTTAATATTAACTTTTCATATACTGCTAAACATACATGAAGTAAATGACGCTTAATGAATGTATTCGACCACCTTCAGGCCAAAAATTGCTACGTTTCCACGTAACGAGCGATTGGAGCTTATAGAAGACCAGGAAGTATTCGTGACTTATATCACAAGGTCACGGTCCAGGGAGAGTCAAATGGAGGAGGGAAAAAAGGGTTCCCGTCCCACGGCAGGAGACAGAGTGTGGCAGAGGGGACGGGATGGGGAAAGGTGAGGGAGGGGAGTGACTGTGAAGAGTGAAAGGGGGCGAAGGTGGTGGTGGGGGAGGGGGAGGACGGAAGCAATATGCGCCTGCGGACGACAAAACCTCGTGACGAAGAAAGCCGTAATTCGACGCGCGACATCTCGCCCGTGGGGCGCGGCGGCGGGGCGAGGACGAGGGGGGCGAGTGCGAGGGTGTCGGCTCGCAGTGACGGGGCTTAAGTGTCGTGAGCGACGACCGCGACGTGACCTTACGGCCTCACACGCCTCGCGCCCTGCAGATGTCGCCGCCGCCGGGCTAACCGATTTTTTCGGAGGCTGCCCAGTGGACCGATATTTCATTGCTGGCAAAATAAAAAAAAGGGGGACATGTTGAATTTGATTTTGAGCCGAGAAGATGAAAGAAATATACTTTACAATACTTTCCATGAAAGAAATATAGTTTCTGCAGACGTTGTTCATCGAATAACTGTCTTCTAACATTCGTCCAGAGTGCAGTACAAAATTAATAAAAAAAGGTCCAGCAGAGAAATTTCTGTTTAATCAACGAATTGTATGGGCAAATTGAAAACAAATTATAATAAACTTGCAAACTACCATTTAAAAATAAAGCAGCATTAATGCATTAAAGCACAGAATTACAATAATTATCATAAGTATGAGATTTTAAATTCATTATGAAGTTATTTTCATTTTTAAAGCTATGTCTTGTAATAAAACCTTTAGATTATTTAAAATACAGGCAACATACTGTAATAAGCCAGATGAGTGAGGTAGTAGGATACAAAATTTATTTTTTCCAACTCAAGGAAAGGAATAGAAAACAACGGAAAAACTGTTGAGGACTTTTTCCAATCGCCTAATAACGTGCCAACATAAAAAACCCTGTCTATTATTTGAGGGTTCTACACAAGCTCTAAAAGAACAGCTAGTTAAGTATAAATGTAAAAAGTATTTAATGAAAGGAACGCACATCCGATCCATAGAACGCTGAAACACTGAAAAATTCACGTTTCTCTTTGGGTGGTTACCCCTTTGCCTCGTTTCTGCCAATTCGCTCGATATTTCTGCGTCTGTCATTCGTAATGAGCAGTAATCTCGCGCAATTCGTTACACCGGATTTAATAGTTATGGCAATACCGCTTCGCGGACTCCAGGCATTATTCATTGTTCAAAATAATGCGATTCGCTCATGCATTTATAATGTGCGTCATACGAGAGGAAAACAAACGCTCCAAACTGACCGATGGCAACACCCCCACCACGAAGTGTTACCGCATCGAAGAACGCTTACAAGTTACTGATTTAATGTTGTACACGATCGTACATTTCGGCGGAATGTGTCGTCAAATGCACAGAGAGTAATAAAATTCAACGGTAACACTTCGGGAATGGATTCTTCATTTAGAAGGGAGAAAAGTACATTCTAATATGGGCCCGGAAATGCTCACATACAGAATAAAAACAGCTTTTTAAAGCGCGTTATCTGAATTTGATAAAATTTCAATCACAATTTTGAGTTCCGATGTTTGTAAAAAGTGATTTAACGATTTTTTATGGTTTTACGTATATTGTAATGTTCACATATTGAAATCTGGCATTTCTTGTATGGTTAGGGAGATGGTAATTCTTGGAGAGCGCGTCGCTTCAGACATTCTACTCCACCTGCAGATCGCCGGACCACAAGGTGATTGAAGAAATCCATAGCATCCTATGCAAATTTCTCATCACACCGAACATCAAAGGACACAGTTTTTTAGTGTATTTACCGCTCATATCATTCTGGCAGCCTAAAAGAGCGAATGAACTACGTCAGATATATCTGATTATTTTCGGTCCTTAATACACAAAAGAGCAGAGACCTGCAATCAGATAAGTTGAGGTTACTGAACATTTGTTTTAAGTGATCAGAGTACTATGCAAACTCGCACGTTCTATATTTTTATTGATTGATGTTTCTGGGCATGGCAACTTCTTTAGTTATTAGTTCCGTTAGTGTAGTGAATGTTTTACCGTGATAAGCGGGGGTGTTACTCCTTCACTGACTGCTGATCTAGCGTCGACTTACACATCGGCTTTCCTTCTTCAAGTTTCTCTCTCAGAGACACCGCTCCAGCCGGGCCAAGTTCTAAGCTCTACATTGGTCTTTCGACATGTGTGGTAGTGTAATGCTTGTGTAAATATGCGAAAGTTATGAGAAACTATAGGACAACGAAGAAGAAAACAGATCAAGCGCGTTCGGTGGTCCGAGTATTAGAGCACTGTATCGGCCTTCGCCTGGTATTGGTTGGAGAAAGCACGCAAAATACCGATCAAAACAACCGGCTGCTACTATTCTCCTCCCGACAGAGGCTGAATCTGACCTAGCTTTAGAGCTAGAATCGAAAATCTGCCACCGTCGGGACTCGAACGTAAATAGGACCTCGCGCTGAGGTGCCGAAGATACAGTGGCAAAGTTGGCTCTGAGCTAAACCCACCCGGTAAAACAACTCTTACAAATTAAGCATGCCGGACCCGTATTGTAATGGACGACCTCGCGTCTTTCTGTAGGAAGAATCCATTCCCTACGCTTAGCCGTTGATTCTGTTACTCTCCGTCGTCTTCGTCGGGGCCGGGAGCACCAGTCCCGCAGCGGTGCTCGAGGTGTGGGAGGCGGGAGAGGGCGGGTTACCTGGCACGCTGGTGCCCAGCGCCACGAAAATGATGGCAGTCACGCTGTCCTCGATGATGAGCGTGCAGCCGAAGTGCGATGCCACGTCGCCGATGATGGCGGTCACGCAGCCGATGCCGAAGATCGACACCACGAACGTCACGTAGCCCTTGAGCATATCTGCGCCGCAGGAAAAGACGCGGAGCACGCAACGCGCCACAGTGAGACACAGCCCTCCTAGATGGCGTTGCAGTCGCAACAAGGAACTCGTTGGCACTGAATACGTAACACGGGTGAAAGTGATGTACCCTTCTAAGGCGGAAACAAACAAGAGCTTAAAACAATTAAGAGTTGGAAATTTGGAAAATAAATTTATTCACTCGATCGACTACCTGAACTACAATGCGCTAAGTCTCATATTAAATATGGTTAATATGTAAGTAAAGTAAATTTTACATTAATATACACCTTGCGTATGACATTTTTCTCCTTGTAACAACAAATTTTTGACGAAGTCTTAGTTTATGTTCCTATTACGCCAATATCTTAATTACATCATTTACATTAAAATGCTCACGAATTGTAGATCATTACATTGTTCAAATATTAGTTGCTATTATGTTGAGTGAATATTTTTTCCATTAGCTAATTTAACTATGCTTTATCACAAATTTGGTGTTTACCTATGTATAATATTCGAGAAAGATATAATAAAAAACATTTCAAAGAGATACATCATTTTCACCAAATATTTCGTACCTCGGTAGAATACGAACATGTTTGACAAAGCCAACGTACCTCATAAATTAGAAGCTATCACTTGGATAGGAAGGTAAGGGCAAGATAAAGAACGTCACTCGTTTTATGCCAATTGTTGAAAAAAATACGGGACAATGCCAACAACAGCCCTGCATAATAGCAAAATAAAAGATACGCAAATGAAAATTACCGATATTAATTATTTCATTGCAAGCAATGAAATCCTGTGTTGGGCCAAACGCCAAAACTAACGACAAAACGTGTTTCAAACTTAAACAGTGAGTTGTCTTATGCTTTGCTGTCACAGCAAATATTCTAACATATATAGGCTGTTTGGAAAAAAGTTTCACACTGATCTGGACTTCAGTAAAGAAATGATAATGCTAGTAATTTGGGAATGATTCCACAAATTACTTGGGAAACAAGATATTGGTGAATAACAATCTGGAAAGCGTTTCATACAGCTGAATTTTTCTCATTTGAATTAATATAGAAAGCCAAATTCTTGACTTGAATTTTGTGAGTGTGGTAGATGATAGAATGGTAGATGATATCCATAATCAAAGGACTGATATTTCTGGAATTGCCTTCAACGCGAATCAACTTTCAGTGAGCGACTTTTCATTGCTATTAGGAAGGAAATGGGTTCTCCGCCAGCCGATGCAATAAAGGGTGTTGTGTAAAATGAAAATGACTAACAGTCACATTTTAAATAATCCTAACTGGTTATTTACGCCTTATAATTAAGTGCTCGGATATTCCATGTGATAATCAACCACTGATGAACCGTTTATGTTCTATGGTCCTACGAAGTAAAGAAATGGCAGAAAAAATCTCCAATGATAATAAGCAAAAATGTTTTAAATGTCATCACCTGGAATTTGAGCGTGGGTATTTTACTTTATTTGTTTTGAAATTAGGAAAGGAAAACATGTTTCTGAAATTTATAGTGCGTGTTTCCTTAATTCACGGAGTGAGGGAGGTTAGGGCGAAGGCAAGGGAGGGTAAGTGATGGAGAAAGAAAAATAATGCTAAAAATTGAAAAGCTACAACAGGGATGAATGAAGATACTCGGATCTGCAAATCTAACATTACTGTACCTAATGAAGAGGTGTATCTATCGAAAGACTTGTCTAACGTCACTATTCCATGAATTTGACGTTAAGATTTTAAATCGGGTGACAAGATTTATGAGTTTTGACGGGAAAGAATGAATAGAAAATAATTTATTGAATAAAAATGATCGATATTCTATGAAAATGAAGCTCGAATTACCGACTGGACATGTTTATACTTAAAGCTTAACTCAATACGTAATTTGACATGTAATTTAATCAAGTTCAATAAATAAATACTTTCTCTGAAAAATACAGTAGCGTCTGATATAATACATAAAAATAATATATTTAATAATAGACAAAATAACAGAGGCTAACCTACTCCTAAAAAACTATTCGTGCTCTGCTTCGCGAAAGTCAAGCACTGTTCTACTTGAACGAAAAGCCAATTGAATCAGAAAGATTAAAAGAAGACGGTACGTTAGAACCTTTGCCCGTGGTAGCCGCAGGAGGGCGGAGGCGAGTAGTGGAAGAAGTATGAAACAAAGCCTCAAGGACCGAAGAGATCCCGGGAGGCGATAGCAGGTGTCGACCGCGCGTTCCTCGCGTCGCGTGCTTCAGTGGAACCGAGTCAAGCCCCGTGTAAACACGTTTGCAGGGCGCAATGTCACAGGTAATACAGCGGCGTTTGAAGAAGGGCTTGTCGACCTAAACTTTTTTCAGCCAAGGAACTAATTTAATGGTTTCTTGGAACACAAAAGTAATTTTGAGGTATACGAGTGCTCTGTTTTGACGTCAAAGTACGGTTACCATTATAATTTTTACACACATAGTTTTATTTAAAAAAATTACCCTGGATACGAAGGGTATAATTTGAAATGAGATCAAATTAAGACGACGAATTATCGTAATATTTTAAACTTATTTTATGTTTAAAAAAACACAAAATATACGACTAGAGAGTATGATAAACGAGCAATTCTCTTCTTGATTTGCTTCTGTAATTCTAATTTCGAAAAATGTCAGGACCAATTTATATTCAAATCTGGAAATTTTCGAATTTATCATGCCCCACAACAAACGTTATTGAAATTTTGTTAAAAAAAAATTGAACATTTTAATTACAAGTTGGGTAAGAACTTTTGTAAACGGTTATATCCTCATCGGTGTAATACTCTCTTTTAAGTGATTGAAAGTGATGAGGCTGTTTTCACGAAATATTTCAGGCTGACCGGCGATCGAAATAAAATTTTTGAGAAAACTTCTCAAATTATTTAACTGTCAAGGACCAGAAAGAAAAATTAAAGTATTTAGAAACGGTTGCAGAAATTAAGCGATAGATCAAAAGACGTCCTCTAACTCGACACTTCTGCGCAACGCAACGAAAACTGAGGACTTGTTTCGCGTAAGCTCTTGAGGGAGCGGAACGCTCTGCTCTCACAGAAACAATGCGCTGCGGGCGACGCAGAGAGCGGAGCGGAGCGGAGCGGCGCCGCCGGGGCCGAATCGAGAGGAGTGGGGCGGGGCGGGGGCGGCGACGCGGGTCGATACTATGCCGCCGCCGACGCCGCGGGCGAGCGAGCGAGCGATCTGCGGGCGATCGCCCATACGGCGCCCGCAGGCGCACGCTGGCCCCGTGGCGAATGTAGGCCCCTCGCCGCGGGGCACCGCCCGAACGCCTGGCAATTGTAGCGAGAGGGACCACCTGCGGGGCGGGGGAAGTGGGAGGGAGGGAGGAAGAAAGGGGGAAGTGGAAGGGGAGAGGTGGAAGTGAGGGAGGAAGGGGGAAGAGGAAGAGGGAAGTGGAAGGGAGGGGGAAGTGGAAGGGAGGGGGAGTGGACGGCGTGGGAAAAGGAAAGTGGGATAAAGAAGGGGCAACATTTTATGAAAGAAAAGAGTAATCCGGTGGAAAGAAGAGTGAAAATGAGAGAGAGCGTGGGTAGACAGTAGATGGAGACAGTGTAAGAGAGTGGGTGATAAAAGAAATTTATAAACTCAGTAGCTGAAGTGTAAGTAACAAATTTGCTGGAGTTAAGTCTTCTATTTTCGTCCTAATGTGTCACGTTTACTCTTACCACTGTCGTTGTAGACCCTAATAAGCCGACATTTCTTTTGTGTTACAAAATAGTTCATGTGATTCTATTCACATTAGATAACATTAAAAACTATCTGAAGTTCTAATTGTTCTTTAGTACCTAAGTTAATTTATCCTTAGTGATGGATATAATTTATTTCTTCTCGCAATCTACTCGCCAAAAAACAAGAAACCATAACATTTTGTTAAAAGTGGGAAAGGGTCATCCTGTCGTAATAAAACTTTACAGAGTGATGTAACGCTTCAATGTTCAAACCAAACCGTCAAAGGATTTGGAAACCAGGTTTCAAACAGAAGGAGACATCGGGCTGGCGGCGACGCGAAATCAGGGGAGGGATTGAGCCAATTTGCTTGGAGATGTGCACCAGAGACGACTTCTGGGCGACAGGCTCTGAAGCCTGGTGACGCCCGAGATCAGACGAGGGGCAAACCGCGACAAGAAGACGTGAACTCGGGCAGGCGGCGCTCAGCTCGGCTCGGCTCGGCTCGGCTCACTGCCTTTGCCAGCGCCGCGGCCGCGACCGGGCGGACGGGCTGTTTGTAGAGGGTGGGGGGAAGGGGAGGGGGAGGGGAAATGGGGGCGGGAGACTGAAGAAGCGGAACTCGGAAACTAACAGACTCCCGCGGGCGCCCAAGTCTCACGCTGCGAGACAGACTCCCGAGGTACACAGCGGCCGCAAGACGGGGCGTAGAGGTGGGTCTTTCCGTCGACAGTCTGGCGAGTGTACGCTGAAACCGCTCAAGACATGGTTAGGTTAAATGCTATTCACTCTCCGCCGGCTCGTCCACGCACTCTCCGCACCTCACTGGGGAAAGAGAGGCACAGTCAACGCACACATGAGAATGTATATTGACGAAAGGAAGAAACTGAGTGTGGGTGGTGCGTCTTTGGCCGCCTCTAACGAGCCCCGCCCACTTCTTTCATTTCTTCACTTTTTGTTTTCTTATTGCACCAATGAACTAAGAAACCGCCCAGTCCAAAACCAATTGCTTCCTTTCGTCATACGGGTCTGTATTATTTCGAATGGAGGAGTGGCGGCTGTGATGTTCAAATTGGAGTAATAGAAAACACTATTAGAACATTTTGAGTTAAGATTTCGGTATTAGGATTTTATAAATAATTTAAAAGTAAACCAAGTAAATGGATTTATTCCAGCCACTCAATATGATAAATATAGAAGTGAATAAACTGCATGCTATGACATGAGAGCACTCCTCCACTCAGAAATGTGTGTTTTATGTTGACAAATTTGAAATGTAAAGCGTCCACAAGATATCTCGAATACAGATTTTTTTTATATCGACACAAATGGTAGATTATACTAACATTCAATATTTGAATAATTTATTTCTATAAGTAATTATACACAAAACTAAGGTAATTCTAGGAATTTCAACTGCTGTCGTTCAGTATTTGAACGTTTCATGTGAAGTTTACCGATTAGTTACCAAGACTTTGTTGTTGGTAACACTCATTTAGGAGGATGTCTTGATTTAATTACTTAACTCTCATTAAGAAACTTTCAAACTCTACAATTTACTTGCGAAGCATGGTAAACAGACTTGAAAATCTCGAGATATCTTGGCATGGTCGCAAAAGATTTTTTTAGAGGAATCTGGAAAAGAGGCTTGCTAATTTTAAGCTTCCTGGGAAGAATATAAAACGCACTTATCCTTTCAGAACTTTCCATAATACTTCAAAATTGCTACCCCCATAATAATGGTTTTCATAACATCCACTCAGATCTTAGATTTGGAGTTATATATGGTCACGTTAATCAAAGCTTGTAAGGGCAAACGCATCTGAGGGCAAGGCTGGTTGTTGCTTTTAAATGAAATCAGCATTGGAATACATAACGCTCATTCTTTTGTTATTAATATTGAAAGAAATTACCAATTTTTAATTTCATTCATGAATCATTTTGGATTGTAAAAGTGTGATGAAAAATTTGTAATTCGAGTGCGAAGAATTTTGAAACTACGTTTTGCTGTGTGATAATTGTTAATACCCATTTAACAAAAAATCCACAAAACCACAAAGAGTTATTGTCCAATATATCCAGAAAACAACAATTACTCTTGAGTATCAATTATAGTTCACACAATCTTCGTCTATTGCACTTTGTCCCAATTAGCCTCTGCCTGAGACCTAATGATCTCTCCAATTACATCAATTTCATTACTGTTAGTGCGCAGCTCGAGTACGGTGAGTGACAGGTAGCTAGCCTAATGTCATCCTGCGCCATCTATACGCGAACCAATGCATTAATTGGGCACAAAGTTACTCACAATTTAGCCGAAACTTGTAATTGCTAAGCTCGTTGTCGTGATCCCAACCCCTTGCCGAAAATGCACGAAATGGGGGTTACGTGCTAACCACTGCACTCTCGAAGATTAGCGTTACTCACCGAGTTCCGGATTATTTCACGCTATGAACGCATTTGCGTTCTGCGATACGAGTGCAAGCTGAAATGATTAGCTTGTAACGATTATGACTCAGACACGATCAACGTGATTTCTATTCTCAGAAGTGGCGGATCTGATGCATGCTCTGCAGCTGTACCTGAGTATTCAGGTCTTTTCCCCCCAAAGGGATTGAATGGGCAGTAATAATACCAATTGTAATAACAGCAACTGGCCGGGTTAACAAAAGCGTAGTTT